CAGAGTCGTAAGATACAAGAGCTATCGGCTCATACTCGCGCATCAGGCGTTTTGATGAACTACACAAACAAGGCGGATAAGTTACTCTCCGCGGCCGCTACTCTGGACAGGCCGATGCCACACGAGTAACAACGATCCGGCTGGAAGGGTATGGGAAGAGCGCGGCCTAAGCAATATTCGTAGCTTCCATAGTAATCAATGACTCATCAATGTATGCATTCTTGCTCGCTGTATTTGACGCCTCTAGCCAACCACTGTAGCTGCAGCATTCTGTGGTTCCTCACAGGCGCAGGGACGGAACGCTGAGTATTATATACGGTGTCAGCAAATGTATCCAGACAAATTTTAGGAGGCTGAAGTCTGTGTCGTGTGCGGGAGGGCTCGAATGCGTGGGTGGACTTAGGCTTGATCCTGCGCCTCTTAAAAAAGACTTAGTAGACGAGCAACTGTCTTTAATGGAGGCTTGTACCCGTTTAGTATCAGCGTCGCAGAAGTCCCCCCCAGGCTCTCGCGCGTGCTCAAAAAGGCAGGATTCTCCGCCCAAAACGGCAGGTGCACATGGTTGGCATCTGCCGGACCTCGGCACGTATATAGTCTCGACCTCTTCAACGCTTCCTCTACCCTACACCGAGGGTTATACTGCCTATAACGTACGCGCTGAACGCGCAAGAGGGCATAGAACCTCATTTACACAATTTCTTTAAAGTGGGGGGGGGTCGAGGCACTAAATGTGGCCCAGTAGAAGCCTTACTGGGATCAAAAATCACGCTGAGAGAACTGTAGCTTTTCAGACTGTCTCCTACTGTCAGTGGGGAGTCCCAAAGCTCAGTAGCTCCTCCTGGTACATTATTCACAGGATAAATTACAACTACTACGTTATAGTACTGCGAGCACAACGGGGAGTCAACAGCACGAAGTTCCTTGCCGTATATTCGGCAAGGTCCACGCACGTGGTTTACCACTGCTGCGGCGCCCCAGCTACTCGTTTGGGTAGGGTTCACTTCCAAAAGCGGGCTAAGGGGGGACTTCCCTATGCTGTATCGGAAATATGCACTAGCCTAGGTGGACTGGCGAGAAGCAAGAATGTGGCCCACGTGTGACAAGTGTAAGGCACGTGACGCGATGAGCGCGTCCGTCATGTTTAATACCGTCGCCACGCGTTCTCTGCTTCCTCCATTGTCCTAGTGTGGGGCAGTGCGCGGCCACATCAAATTAGAATTGACCTTGTATAGGAAAGCTTTCACAACCCGTCTAGGACAAACATGAGCAACCGCCCTATAAATTCAGATCATGCTGCCACCTCGGTAAGTATTTCTCCACTCGCCCAACCTTGAAACGCTTACAGGCATGGCTACCGATGCTCTCTCTCGCACTGACAAATCCAAACGCCGTCCCGTCACTCCTCATCTTCCTCATCTCAAGCCTTTGAGCTCCCGCGGCCAGTTCCAGTCCGGACAGCCTGAAGCGGGTGTGCCACGGCGCTGGGCTGGGCGAGAGATGGCGAAGAATTTCTTCGGCCATGCACCCATGCAGCAGTTTCTTTCGATTGCTTTTCCAAGTGTCGCTTACGTGGCTCCGGATGAGGATGACCTGAACCGCTACAAGACACTGCTCCGCGCGATCCCTGCTGGACTCAATATCCTGGAGCGTGATATGTATGGCCCATTAGTACGTATATGATTGACTCCACCAAATTTAGGCTGACGCAGACTATAGGTTACTGCCGTTACCGATATTGCCGCGGATGTGAGCCACCAGCTTCGCATAGACAACTCCTCGTCGAAGAGGGGCGAGGTATGGCCCGGTGGACCTACCTTGACTCCAGACGTAACGATACACACCCTTGATACAATGGAAAAGAGTTGGGCTCACGGTATCAGCTTCCTGGAGGTGAAGCGGACCACGAAAGAAGATCCTCTCTCTCTCAGCGAAGACTCTCAGTCTATAAGCCTCCACAACGTGGAAATATGGAATCAAATACAGCATTATGCCACGATTGCTCTGGAAGCGGCACCACGCTGTTTCTATACTGGGGTGGGGTTGTTTGGCGAAACTGCTCGATTGTTCTATTGGGACCGTTCTGGTGTCCTGGTATCCGAGGCCTTTGCTTTCAAAGAGGACCCTTCTCCATTAGTGAGCTTCCTGCAGGCTCTGAACGACTATGGAAAAGGCGGGCTAGATACCACTGCATGTCGTCCTTTCCGCCCCGATGCCAAGGCTAGGAGACTCGTGCGCGATGGCTACAACAAAGCTCTGAAAACGCGTATTATGGAAGAATACAAGCCTCTTACTCCGGGCAAGGACTATGTGGACGAAGGTACTCGTGTATCTATCCGTCGTCCTAGCTCAGGCGCCGAAGAGGAATTTCTTACAATTGGGCGTCCAATATTCTCATACAAATCAGCTGTTGGTCGTGGTACCCGCGTCTGGATAGCTGTCAAAAACGACGGCTCACCTACTCAGCCCTTCATAGTCAAAGATACTTGGTACGAATCCGGAAGATGGTCTGAAGGCGACATATACCGGCGGATATGCGAGGGCGGGCGGGACGTCTTCGGCGTGGCAAGATTCTACGATGCATACGACGTAGATGAGCCAAATAGCCCTTGCATTCATCGTACGGCAGCCGGAAGAATCAAGTCGATGGCGGGTAAATGCAGCTTGCCCGAACGTGTTCATCATAGATGTATTCTCAGTTCGGTCGGCATACCTCTTGACAAGTTTTCGTCGACTCGCCAATTGATGGGGGCAGTTCGCGATGCCATCAAAGGTAGGTCCTCATCTTCTGACCCGACGAATGATTCTGACACGTCCACAGGACTCCAGGAGCTATCCGATCTAGGCATCCTCCACAGGGACATCAGTGTAAATAACATTATGATCAGTGTCGATCCCGCCGATGAGAATGGCGCGAGAGGCTTTCTCATTGATCCAGAACTGGCATTCCATCCAGACATGCCAGGTTCTGAAGAGCAGCGGAAATTCATCACGGTACGCATGATGACTCCATAGCGTAGAATGTCATACTGATACGCATTGACAGGGAACATTTCAATTTCTCGCCATCAAGCGGCTTCAGCAGCATCATGGTGACCACGAACCCTGGCACGATCTTGAGTCGGTATTTTGGGTGGTGCTCTGGCTGGTCCTACGCCACACTAGGTGCACTGTCTCTCACGGCGGCAAAGAGAGAGACGGAAAGGACTGTGTATCGTGGATATTTGATGCGGAAGACGGGAGCGGCAAGATGATGTTTCTTGCTTTCGGCGAGGTCATCGTGCAAGATAATGAGCCTCTCACCGACTGCCTTGCTACCCTGCAATTCCTGGTTCACACCAAGTACATGCGTAATCGGCGGCTACGTCGACTTATCGAGCAGGCCAACCGGGATACCTTAGACTGTCAGTTGACACATCAAAACTTCCTATCCGCGATCGACAAGGCTCTGGGAGAGGGTGAATGGCCTCAGGAAGATAAAGCTCAGGTCTTTACACCCGCAGGTAGACCGAAGAACGAGGACAACAAGGAGATTAGCCGCATGCTTTCCTCAAATATTTCCCAAGTGCTGTCGCCGCTCCCTTTTGCAGACAGCAATCTCGGTAGTCCCCCGTCTAATCGGTCTCCTAGGGCAGGTGAGATAGGATCGGCTGCAAATCACTTGGAGACGCGATCGCATGCTCCGGTGCAAGTCCTGTCCGAGTCTTCGACTGGACCTGGGATGGCCGCTGACCCTAGGAGCTCCTGCCCGGCGCCCTCCCAATCCGGCAATGCGACTATTCCGCCTACGCGTGGTGGACCTGAGGAGCCGGCCGCTGCGAGCTCCTCCAAAATGCGATCCAAGTCTGGCGACGTACTGTCGCGACCCATGTCCGAGCCTTCGGCTACGTCTGGGAGGCCTTCCGCGGCCGGCGGCTCGCAAGCCTCATCTCAGCCTGGCAATACACTGCTCCCCATGTCTTCTAGTGCTCAGAGTAAGCTGTCGACAGTATACTCGTCGGCGACGCGATCTCGATCTGACGCGCTACTCTCCGTTGCGTTGAGGAACTCGGAATCCCGACGCAACTTGCCGTCCAGGTCGACGGCCCTTGTCGCACCGGAAGCTGCCCAGGTAGGAGCGGAACCAAGGTCCCCGCTTGTAGCGGCTGGTGACGTTCCGTTGCTGTCCGGAGTTCCTCAGCCCGCCCACTCATCTCCGCCTCGCGTGAGTGGAAGTTCTCAGAGCGTCTGGAGAAGGAGTGAAAGAACAAGCGATGCCCCGCTCGACACTTCCAGCAAAGTCCTCCGCTCTCGAGAGGGGCTCGCCGGTTCCTCCAGCGGGGCTGGTGGCACGAGATCAGTCCATTCCAGCAGAAGCCAGGGAGGTGCTTCAAGTTTGAAGAGGAGAGGAGAACAATCGTCCGGATCTGCGAAGCCCAGTTGGAAGTAGTCAGACCGCTCACCGTGAACTGTGCGCACTGGTAGTGTTTCTATTTTCTCTTTCGAGTCTGTTCCCCATGCTCCCCCGATATGCCACATATGTGCTTTTCGCATTGCTTTATCTGTTGCTGTGAATTTCGTACATGTTGTCTCATGCTCATTTCATTGTATCCTCCGTACACGTATCTATTGATTCTACGGACCGTCTGGCATGGATACACGCATATTTATACCTCTGTTGCTTTACGAACCTTGAAATACATCCTACCGTTCAAGTGTCGGTGCGAAGATCAGAAGAAGGCGCTGGATGAACGCCTAATGACCTACGATCATTCCGAGATGGCAGGGAGCTGCCGTTGGCGGGTTATTCTCCGAGTTACATTGGAGTTCCTGGTCCCCACTTCGCAAGCGGCACACGTTCAAGATGAAGGAACACTTCTCATCCTGTCAGAACAGGTCGAGGCCACCGATTCTGACTCCTGGGCGGCGGGTTGATGGGTACGTCTTCGAAGAAGATGGACACGGCAACCAAAAGGCGAGCTAAGCACCTGAGATGATCCACCCGGGGCTAGTGCACCCGTGGAAGACCCCATTCTTGAACCCCACTCTGTAAAGCAGACCTCCGATAGAAGGGCGGACGCTGAATCCCGCACCTTGCCCCACGACGAGCCATCCGGCTAGCGCGGTTCGCTGACGGATGCCCACGATCCTCGGGTCGGAGCAGTAGCGCTTGCAGTACATCCAGAAGGTAAACGATACCCCGAGCACGATGCGGGATATCAGGATCAGGTGCAGGAAGTGTGCCCTATACGCGAGACCGTCCAGCATATTGCCGAGTACGCTGGCGGCACAGGCTAAGTGAAACGGACGGTGGTATACACCTGTAAAAGCCTTGTAAACGCAACCGAACGCGGAGATGGCCTTGATCCATTTCATCATCGAAAGGAGGGCGAGACCCGAGAAGACAATAGGGATACCAATGACCAAACAGGTATGCGGCGTACTCGCTAGAGGACAAGACGATTATGAAGAATGACAGCTGTTGAACGTATCAGGCCCATACCGTCTCATTCTGTTGAACGTAGCTCACCTGCAACATTACATTGGTTGATACGATTATTGATAGAGACCTAAGCTTCGGTAACTTGAACTCTGGGTGGACCGCCGGCTCATGTTGTTCCACAACAGCTTCAGCTGCCTCTACCTTCGTCCTGGCTTCGCTTCGACTACATGGGACATCTTCATCCGCACGGTTCCGGGATGCATTCGACTGATGAGATCGCACGCTATAACTGGATCGCTTTGCGAGATCAACAACAGTGGGTACAACGTTGGGTCCCTCCATAATTCAACGCAGCGTCCAAGGCTGGCGAAAGTATGTATAAGGCGCAAGCAAGACGCGGCAGACCGCTGTCAACCAACGTCGCTCTCGATGATGAACTTTCGGAATTGCGCAGTGGGGAACATACAGTACATAGCTGAGTATGGATGCCACTGCAGAATCACCGACGCGGCAGGTGAGAATTGAAGCAATGATGGCGCAGTCATTTGCCACAATCTCTCCAAGAGCACCGTGATGCGCGTCTATCCGTCCCCTCACTGGCAGACTATGCGTACTCGGTCAACCTCGAGCTCGTCGAAATTGTATCCGTCTGTGGTTATGTGCTTATGATGGGTGTGTGCGGAAGGAACTTGGCTCAAGCGGAGGGCCAACGACATTGGATGATGAATTTGAATCAAAGCTTGAAATCGCTCGCATCTGACTCTTGCATAAAGTATTGTCTTTGTGTGCCATAAATCACCCAGCCGGATGACGTCCTAGCATGACTATCTTGCCTAGTACAAGACTCCAGGTTGCATCTTGTAATTTGCTGGAATAAGGGCCGCGGGAACGCGGTACATCGAGCTCAGGTTTGTTCTGTTATGCGGCTGGGAGGTCTAACCGATAGCGCGACACATCTCATGATACAATGAATACATTATAGAAGATACCTTGGCTGACTGCCCTTCCGAGGGGTCTCCCCAACCTCTTCACCAACCAACCCGTCCGGAAATACAGCCAGGATGACGCCGGCCGTAACCGCCCGTGGCTCTAGTTTGCCGCACTCTCGTCCGGAGTATCGGGTCGCTGGTAGATTGGCCCAATTACCATGGTCAACGGCGGGCTGAATACGCGGCCTGTAAATGTCCGATCTGCTGGTGGTTCGTCGCTCTGGCCACTAGGTGGCTGCCTAGCGTTGGATGCTTCATGGAAGGCCATGAGCGGAGGATAGCTATGATTGCGGCGAGATTCATCAAGCTCCTCCTTTGGTTCTCCCGAATCTCTGCCACAACCATTGCTGTTCAGCAAATTGTCGCTTTCCTCCCCAGATATCGTGGTCTGCCGTGACCGCGCATCAGGACGCTCCTCTTGGTTGGTGAATTGATTTTCTGATTCAGTCATCTATTTACCAATCCCCAGGTCAATTTCTGACAATCACGTTATGCAATCGTACGAGACAACACACCTCATCCTCTTCTGAATCGTATTCATCAAAGTCTAGGTCACTGTCGTCCCAGAGTTCGTCGAGGACTTCGTCCCACTCATCCCACTCCTCATCAGAATCGTGTGGCTCAGCATCTGCGGTCACAGTGGCCAGTGCAATGAGTATCCTTCTCAGATTTCTCTTCTCTTGGGCTGTCATCCGAGACTCGCGGTGAAGTTCGACGGCCATTGGAAGTAAGACGGGGCAGAGGAAAGTTGCAATGTCGGGCGTTGTGGTCAGAGTTGAGTATGAGGCTTTTATCCGCCACTTGTCTGTTCGCGGATGTTGCCGGTGGCTTGCTTGGACTCGCCCATCGTAGAAGGCCAATGAATACTGCTTGAGCGGTAGCATGGGAGTGCGCCGCTTCAACTTTGTGGTCCAATATCGGGAAGTCCCTCTCTGTTAGTTGTATCGACTTGCTTACGTTGTGATGAGCATCCGGAGTGGGGACAGCTGTGCCGCTTCATCCACCCAACGCGAATAGGTGCCCCTCGAAGGTTTCTTGAGAGAGGGGACATTGATTCCACGCCTTGCTCGCTCGATAATCGACGAATTGCACTCGCCGCTCTTCGTTTCTGCTCATGGTGCAAGAATTGACGGGTATGTAAGTGTCTCGAGCATATGATCCGTTCTCTACAGACTTCCGGACGGCATTCTGCATCCACGATTCTCTCTTGTGGATCTCCGCCCACACCGGACCACGACGATTGTCACGCGTTCGCATTCGTTGCGTCAGAGCCTGGAGTAGCTGAAACCTGAAGAGTGTGCTTTAGCCGGTAAGGAGGAAGCTCATCTCACCGATGTCGGCGCTCTCCACGCCTTCAGGTTGATCAGTCCTGTCGTCGCCGATGGTCTCCGCGTTCCTGTACTCCTCTCTGACCCTCCGGGCAGGCAATTGTCGTACTTGTGATGGAGGATGGTAAGTAACAAATCGGGTCCCAGGTGAATGCTCCATAATAGCCAACATCCGCCATAGTGAACGTCGAGCAGCTCTCTGAGTTCCGTGTGCCACCCTTGCCCGTCAGTATCGAGGACGTCGTCTCCTTCCGTGGCGACCTCCAATGCAATGGCTATTCTCGTGGCATCGCGTTCTCCTGTCGCTCTATGTCCAGCATGCCAATGGCAGCCATTAACATCAGTATACTTTTGGCCTGTGCTCAGGACGCTATGCTAACGGATGCAGCGGTCAGCTTAGGTGATGAACGGTGCACCTATTAAGGCCCGTGGTTGCTGTTCGTATGCGCCGATGGTCCGGTCTGACGTGAAAATACCTCGATTCCCTATACTCAATCCAATCCCGTCCTTGCTAATCATACAAGCAGAATATACAGTCACTGGCCAGGATTTCCAAGCTCTCAATGCCTCCTTCTCCATCGAACTCAGACCACGGTCTCCTGCGGACACACTATCAACTTCTGACCACTAACTCGGCCTTCTTCCAACTCCTTCCATCCTGCCGCTATACCGTTCAAGCCACCTGGAATCACCTTCACCGGGTTCGGCTGCGACAGCGCGTTCGCGTATGAGTCAGCATACGTCGCAGAGCACGGCTACTCGGACGCTTACCTTGATATCCCCCTTCGCAAGCAGGTCGGGCAGCGCAGCGAACAAGCTCGCCGCTGCCTTCCCATTGCCCGGCATGTGAATGAATCCCATAATGTAGAACACCCTCTTGCGCGACTCCGGGTCAGCGCGGATCGTCGGGGGGAGGGTGAGGACCAGAGTCCCTCCCGGCGCCAGCAGGTCGTATGCCGCTTGCTGCGAGTCGTTCAGGCTTACTACGTCAAGAATGATCTCGAGCGGTGCGGTCGTTACCGCCGACACGGCCGAACGCAGGGCCTCCGCTTGGAGGCTCCTGTCGATCACGTGCGTCGCGCCAAGGGACTTGAGGAGGGACTCGTTGTGCGACGACGCCGTGACGATGATGGGGGAGAAGCCTGAGAGCTTCGCAAATTGGATGACTACACATGTATGGTGAGATAGATATATTCTGAGTCGTTGATTGGTATTGTAACTCACCGAGCTGCCCCACGGAGGAAGACCCTCCGGAGATGAAAATGGGTTTGCCAGAGTACTTGTCACGTCCGCCCGCCTCCCAGGGAGGGGTCAGGCCGGCGCCTCCAGGGCCTGCTTCATTCACCTCACCGTAGAGTCCGAAGGCGGCAGCTATGGTGGCGCTTGGCAGAGACGCAGCTTCATCCAGCGGCAGCTGAGAAGGCACCTGACAGCAAGAGCGACTTGTGAATTCTTCCGACGCAGAGGAGATATCATGTATACGGCACACCTTGGCACTGTAGTTTGCTACTGTGAGCGCATATTGCTGATATCCAGCTCTGTCCTGGGTGTAGCTTCCTTGAGAGATCCTACGAACAATATCTTCCTTAGGAAGGAGTCGCGGAATGATGAAGAAATATCTTACACTCTATCTCCCTTTGCGAAGTGGGTAACCCCCTCGCCGATGTAAGAACAGTGTAGTACGCGTCGCCCCAGCAGTCAGCAGTGTGTATCCGTCTTCGCGGAGGTTAGCGTACTGTATCAGTCACCGCAGTCGTTGGATTAGCGTATTCCACCGCCGTCGGTTGTACTGCGTAAGACAATATGGCGCGGCTCGCGCAAGCAACCTGGGGTCTCAAAGCTCGTCGACGTCGTTGCGCGACGGTACAAAGTTTCCCCACGAACCTATGTATTTTTCTAACTACTACTTAGTACGAAAGCAGATCATGTCCGGGGAGTATGTGACGACGTCCCGGAGCAATATAACATAGCCGACCTGTGATGATGGGCACTGTATGAGAGTACAAGACGTCAGTCGCAACGATAGGCCGATATATCGCTCATTGCGCGACCGAAACGTCGGCATATGGCTGGGCAGCCCCATCTCGCTCATGAGAGCGTTGAACACCGCAGATTGCGGTCAATTGCCACGCCGTGCAAGTACGGGCACGCTAGACCGGCAATTGCCATGATCCGTTCCTCCTGAGCCTCATTTGAATGACATTACTTGCTTATGGACCAGAACGATCTCTGACGATTTCTCTATCGAGGCTCTTGAGTGCCTCTTGCTTGTGACGGCTGCTCGAGGTGAATATTCATCTCCGAGTCTAACGGTTCGGAAGGCTTTTTATGGGTCAGACCGGACCTCCGCCACGGACCGATGTATGCACCTCGTCGCACTGTTCTGGGCCATCCATTACAGGAATCCTAAAAGACGAGTGTGGCCGCCCCTTGATATGAGCCCTCTGCCCGAGGCTGCTAGTCTGGGGCTGACGCTCGGCGTGTATAATCGTGAATAAGGCTGCGACCGTGTGGAGAATAAGACAGAAGCTTCAGCCCAAGGCCGGGGGGGGGGATCTTACTGTGTCCGCATGCATCATACGACTACTGACTGGTACGCGTAGAGATGCAAGGCTGTTTTTTCTTCGCGTCAGAGGGTTTCCCTGACGTACCAGGCGGTCTGACGCGACGGTCCCATGGGGCACCGGGACTTCGCACGGTTGCTCTCGATCGCGATCGGAGTGACGTCTGTATTTGTGACCACTTGTCACTGTGGCTGATGCTGTCCGTCCGCAATCCTGCACCAAACGCTCTCTATTCCTAATATTCCTCTTTTCTGTACTGTATATTAATGCCATTCAAGCGACCGGCACCACCTACACACGAGTCCTCTTTGAATACCGTTCTTCCAACATCCAAACGATTAAAAACCGTGCAAGGCCAAGAGTCTGACGCTCTGAAGGATATCAAGATCCATATAGTGGACGCGAAGCTCGACGGGAACACCGTCGGGGAGCTATATCGACTTGTAGAGAATGCTGGAGGGGAGCTATGCACGGACGTGGGGGAGTCAGAGGTCGTTGTAACGTGTATCGGGATGAAGAAGCGGCTGCAGAGACACCTGGACTGGGAAGCTGCTGTACGTCATCGTATTCGTATGAAATAATGGGGACTGTACGCTGAATGTCACCATCTGCGCGAAGAAAGAAAAGGCTATAGTGAAGCCCGACTGGATACGGGATTCTGTCAGCCGAGGTGAAGCACAGCCATGCGGGGACTACGCTGCTCTGGAGGACTTGCACGATGAGACGGTGAAGAACTGCTCCGACAAGGATCGCGAAAGCAGCGCCGAGCCAGAGGACGACGAGGCTGGCCCTTCGAGACAGTCAGAGCCGTCACAGACACAGCTGCCGTCCCCGCCCTCTTCGCCGTCATCCGACGCTGATGGTACTACGAAGCGCCTCTCGAAGGTATCCTTGAAGGATACATCTTCGTCGCCCCATCCGAAGAAGCCCGTCTCTTCAGTTAGCACCCAGCCCACTGCTTCGCGAGCCTCGACCGTGAATGTGCCCGCTTACCTCCTTCCTCCCGACTTCCCGATACCGACGAACCTCGCGAAGCTTAGTTACATGTCGAGGTATGCATGCTGCAGAGCCTCGCCGCTCGTGTGTCCCAACCAAGGCCTCTGTAATGTGAGCGACTTTGTGGACCGTGTAGTTGTGTGACCCGCATTCGCAGGAGCTTAATATCATTCGGAAGAGCAGGGAGGTCGAAGGTGAGGACAGAAGTGCTCTAAGCTACGAACGGGCCATATCTGTGAGTGTCCGACGTTGTCTGAACGTGCTAGAGCCCACTGAACGTGACTATCTGTTTCAATAGGTCATTAAGGGTGGGCTGACTCAATGAATTCCTGGGCAGGGCTGAGGGATCTAATAGCTATGGACTGCCCTTTAGCATACCTGAATCGGATCACTTCCCTGGCACAAGTTAAAGTTCTACCTTATATCGGCGAGAAAATAAGCGGACTCGTGAGTTTTCGCGTGAAGAACGACGGACGTGAATGCTGATCCATATTTAGGTCGAAGAATACCTGAACACAAACCAAATATCGGAAGCCCGTTCCATCCTCGACTCCGAACGCTACAGAAGCCTGACCGCCTTCACCTCCATCTACGGCATCGGCCCGAACACCGTGCGCAAGCTGTACGCCCGCGGGCTGCGGACCATCAGGGACTTGGAGGTGTGGTACGGCGTCCGCCCGCCGGAGGGCGAAGAGGACGACGAGGGTGTGTACGAACAGCAGCGGGAGCGCCGGATTATTTCCGTGGAGGGACAGAGTGGGAGGCGAGGCAGGGGGAGGAACGAGGGTGCAGAGGTGGAGGATGATAGTTGGATTAAGATTGCGCTTGGATTGAGAGAGGAGTTGGATATCAAGTGCGTTCGCGGTGGATTCATAAAGGTTCGTAGCGGCGTATGCTGACCCTTGTGCGTCGTGCGTCAGGATTCCGAGAGATGAGGTAGAGGAGATTGGACGGGTGGTAGGGAGGGAGCTGGAGCAAGTACAGCCGGGATGCGTGTTTACGATCGTCGGCGGGTGAGTGGTAGTCGCTTTCGTATACAGATCGACCTCTGATGGCGAGCAGATATCGGCGCGGGAAGCCCATGAGCAACGACGTGGATATCGTGTTCACGCACCCTGAGGTCGAGAAGGTCAAGGGCCTTTGCGGACGGTTCGTGAATCAGTTGTATGAGCGAGGTATGTCCTCGATTTTCTCTCGTATTCCAGTACCATGGTTGAGTGTTTCTACGATGCAGGACTCGACTCGCATGTGATGCGTATGTTCTCATCTCTTTCGAATTTGATCGCACTCTGACATTCCGAAGACCTGTCTGGGTTTCACGCTCATAACGCATTGCGCACCACGCACTGGGATTCCCTGGAGAAGGCACTGACGGTGTTCACGCTGCCAGAAGACTCGCCCTTCGCCCGGGACTTTCCGGAGGGGAAAGGAGGGGAGGTAAAGAGGCGCGGTGTGCGGAGGAGGCTGGATCTGATCTTTGCGATGCCGGAGGTGTATTGGACTGCGGTGATTGGCTGGTAAGTTTGCAGGGTCTGATGCATGAAGGGATGGGCAGCTTATATCAACCAGGACGGGGTCGATAATGTTCCAGCGGGATTTGAGGCAGTGGGCGACGGATAAGAGGTGAGTGTTCCTTCGTGCGTCTGCTGCTGAGCTGACCTCGACGTTGATGCAGGGGTTACAAGTTTGATAGCTCTGGCATGTGAGCGTCCTTCCATATCATAGTTGAAGTAGTGATACTTATCCTATGGTATAGAACCCGACGCAGGGATTCGAAGCAGCTGTTCCCGAAGACGGAGAAGGATGTGTTTGATCTGTTCGAGCTCGAGTGGGTGGACCCGACTTGGAGGAATGCGGATGTGTGAATGGTCCCCTATGTGGTGGTTGTGATACTATTCTTGTATTGCCCCGTTGTAGCGCTAGATTCTTGTCTGTATTGTAGTCTGTACCATTATAATGTACTGTTTACGAGCGATCTTGACACCAAAGAGTGAGCCGTGAACGCTCTCTGCTCTGACCTCGCCTACTTGTCTCGTCGCGTTCGTGATGGGGGTCAGACCGGTCAAGTTCGACCCGTCAAGGTCCTCCACACTGGGCGTAGGATATATCTTCGTTAGTTTACGGGTTCCATTCAAGGGTCGCGGGCGTGGTTCCCGTGGATCTCCGGGCTACGTAGAGAATTACTGCGAAGGCTTCGCTATTGTATACCCGTAAGCCTTAAGCTTCCTCCCTGCACTCCAGTTGAGGGTTGGTAGGCTTTATGAGGTGGAATCTCCAGAATGCACAAGATCCTGCCTAAGTATACTGAGTACTGATACTGGGCCTGACTTTACTGGGCCTGGGATCGCGGACTCGGAAGGGGCGGTTGTTATGAGTTGTGGCATTTCTTCGTTGCATCCAGTCCTTCCATAGATATAGAAAACTTTCCTGCAAGTTATTCTTGCTCGGTGGGTCCTTGTGAGCGCAAGCCGGCCGCATGACCGTGGACGTAAGGCCGTAAGCGGGCAAACAGCCACAATTCAAACAAGCGACGCGTATCGACAGGGAGATGGGCATCGATAATAATATCCCTCTTTCTCCTGTTCCACTCCCTGCCCTCCTCGAGATATGAGCCTTCCTCTTTTTTCTATGTCTCTGGCCAGCATCGACACTCCGAAAGGTCGTCTAGGACTCTCCCGTATTTTTGCATGACAAATGGTCTGACCTCGCGACTTGTGCAACGTCTGTCGTCGGAGTCCTCCTGAACACGCAATGAAGTCTCCACCTCCCGGACGTACTCGAGCGAAATCCTATCTGGCAGAGTCGCTATCGTACGAAAGCCCTTATCCGACCCAGGAACGAATATCGGGAATTGTTGACCGGCACCGGATACGGGGTTGTGTATGTCAACCGTACCCCTATAAACATTGAGGAACCCCTACGAGCGGACGGCGGCGTAACTTTCACAGCGGTTGAGCTATGGGAGACACTGAAGGAACCAAGGCAAGGCGATATTTTATCATGCAA